CCCCTGCCCTGGAGAGTCACCTGAGTGGGACCTGGGACTTTGCTTTTTATTGAGCTCTCCAGATGGTTCTTCTGCTCGGCCAGGCTGGTACCTGTTGGTATAGGGGTGCCACGATGGGGCTGCGAGAGGGAATTTTGGTACTGAGTCAGGAACTAGGGATCTGAGATCTGCCTGGAGCCCAGAGCCCACCCCATTCGTCTTGGTTGCCCCTGCTCCCCACTCTCCACAGCTTCCACTGGACACGAAACAGCAGATTCTTCAACATTGCCAAGGACCCCCGGGTGTCCATGAGGAGGAGGTCTGGGACTCTGGTGATTGACTTCCGCAGTGGCGGGCGGCCAGAGGAATATGAGGGGGAATATCAGTGCTTCGCCCGCAACAAATTTGGCACAGCCCTGTCCAATAGGATCCGCCTGCAGGTGTCTAGTGAGTAGCATGGGGCAGGGCTGAAATGCCCTGCTCCTGGGTAAATGGAGAGTGGGGGATGTGGAAGGTCATTCCAGAAGGGCTGCACTTGCCCTTGGCCTGCAGATGCCTTGGTGTTCTCTGTGCATCTTCCCCAGCTCAGAACGATTCCTTGGAAAGGAAGCTCCCAAAGCTTCCTTTTGAAGTTGTTGTCTGCAACAATTTCACTGGCCACTGTGGGCACAGGAGAGGGGAAAGGAGGGGAGCCTTTGAAGATGCCTCCCTTCTCCTGCCTCTCAAGGGCAGCCCCTCGAGTAGGCTTACGTGCCCTGTCTCTTTCTCTTGCTCCCTCCTTATCCAGGTGCCCTTTCTGTTTCTTCTCTTTGCATGCCTGCCTCTGACCCTGCTCCTTGCCCTGGGCCCAGCCATCACCCTCACTTTGTCCTCTTTGTCCACTTCTCTCCAGAATCTCCTCTGTGGCCGAAGGAAAACCTAGACCCTGTCGTGGTCCAAGAGGGTGCTCCTTTGACGCTCCAGTGCAACCCCCCGCCTGGACTTCCGTCCCCGGTCATCTTCTGGATGAGCAGCTGTGAGTCTTGGGGGCCTGGTGTGGTGTTTATATTTTAACCTTAGGGAGCGGGGTGGGTGTGTTAAATGAGGAAGGGCTTACCCGAGCTAGAAGACCTTGATTTGTGAGAAGCAGATGCAATGTGGCAACCGGGCTGAGAACACAGGCTCTGCAGAGAGAGGCTGCTGGGGCTTGTTTTCTAGCCTGGCTGCTGTGTGATCTTGAGCAAATTGCTTACATCTCTGGGCCTCAGTTTCCTCTTCTGGAAAAAAACAGAGCTAATCATAGTGCTTCTCTAATAGGATTATTATAAGAATAAATGAGTCAATACGTCCAAAGTGCTTAAAACAGGGCCAGACACACAGTATGCACTTGGTAACATGATAATGAAAATGAAGAGTAAGACAGAAGGGATTAGGGGAGAAGATGAGAAATGGTTTTTCCAATTGGCCAATTGAAAGCGGTTGATACTAAACCACCTCTTTCAATTATTGGCCGCTCTGGATTTACTCTGATTCGCTCTTCTGGTAGGAGGAAGGGTGAATGGGGAATTGAAACCTTTCATAAAGAAGTGATGGGGAGATAAGGTATCTGGAGCAGGGACAGAGTAACATCTTTCAGTGATTGTTCTGGCTCAATTTTCGACTGAGGCTCATTCAACCTTTCCGGACCTCAGTTTCTTCCCATGTTTTCAATTTAAATAAAAGGAGAAGCATTAATAAAGGTAAATAGAAAGCTGTTATCTCTCTGTGTGTCTTTCTGGCTTCCTGTCCTCCCTCTTTCTGCCTACCTGTTTGCCCCCTCTCCCCCTCCTTCCATCCCTCCTTTCCCATCTATCCAGCCATCCATCAACCTATATTCCCACCTGCCTACCTGCCAGTCATCCATCCTTCTATCCATCCCTGAATTCTTAGCAGCCTACTTTGAAAAGAGGCTGCCCTGTTGATGAGGCAGCATTGTAATTTGTTTTGCAGGTTGAGGATGGCTTTGTGCTCAATCACTGTCTCTCTCCTCCCCCATCACAGTGCACATTTGTGGGGAAGGCTGCCTGGCCACAGGCTGCTGGCCTCATTTGTTAATTCACAGTTCAACCTCCCCTCTCTCATCTCTCCCACATCACATTCACCACCAAATGGTGTTTACTCTGCCTCCCAAGTAGATCTTAGACCCTTGTCTTCTTTCTGTCCTCACTGACATCCCCCCTGCCCCAGCCACCATCAGTTTTTCCCTGGGTAACAAGAATTATCCATACAGGCCTCCCTGGTCTTTCTAAAAATGTGATAGTTAATTGATAGTTTCATTCATCTGCTTAAGCCCTTCATTGGCTGCTCCATCACCTCAAAATAATGGCCCAGAATCCCTTTCCCTGGCACCCAGTCCCATTCCAGATCTGGCCCTCTGCCTCTGCAGCCCTTCTCCCACCTTATCGCCCTACACCACTGAGTGGACTGTGTACTCTTAGCCTTTAGCACACACTCTTCCAGCTCCTTAGAAACCTCAGCTCCTCTCTCTTTTCTGCTGGTATAAGATATGCAGCCTTTAAGGCCCAGCTTAGGACCCCCTAGAATGCACTGGGTTCGTTTCTGCAGTTCATCCCCTTCTAACTGGTGTGTTCTGCTCACCATGGTGCATTGCAATTGTTTATTTATCTGCTGCCTCTTCTACTAAACTGGAAGTTATTTGAGAGCAGTAACAGTCTTGCTCATCTTTCACCAGCACCTAGCACAGTGCCTGGCACATAGTAGGCCTACAGTAAATCAGGAATGGTTAGAAGAGCTGACCAGCCCATTGTGGGGAAGGTGGCTTCGTTAACCTTGTGCTTTAAGAAATGGTGACTTAAAAAACAATTGTGGGGATAGAAAGGAGATAGCTGTGAGTAGTCAGCTTTAGGTATATTCTAACAAACCTAACAGCCTGGAAACCTGGTCTTTTGGGTTTACATCAGATATAGCACTTGAAAAAAAAAATATAGTCAACATTTTCAGCCACTCCAATGATATCATTAATCAGACATTTTCATATTTTAACACCTCTAAAATTGAAAGGCCTCTTAAAACTGATGACGTACATCGTTGATTAGTATATATCTTACAGTTATAATCAGTAGTGCTTTCTTCTTTTTTTTTGTATGAACCTTTTTTTTATTATTACACTTTATGTTCTAGGGTACATGTGTATAACATGCAGGTTTGTTACATATGTATATATGTGCCATGTTGGTGTGCTGCACCC